AACAGTGAGCGAGCGATGCCAGCAACGACGCACCTCGACGACGACGAGAACGCTCACTCTCAGGGGTACCCGGCTGCTGCACAAACTGGCGACAGCTGCTGGATGTGTCGACCCGGCAGTGGGTTACGTCTGCGCCTCGCGGTTCCCTGCAGCAGTGGAGATGGAGACTGAGAAGCAGAGGAACGAGTGGATTACGCAGGTTACCCGGAGAGAGTTCACCCCCCACAGTGCCCAGAACGAACGAGAATTTGAGGAATGGGTTGACAAGATTGCGGAAGAGGTGAGCCAGCGGACGTTTCGAATGCATGAGCCTAGTCTGATCAATATCGTGATCGGACAGCTCCCGGTGGCGTTGAAGCAGTTGGTGGCGGAGTTCTCGCTCGAGGACCGGCAGGAGGTAGAGTGCTGCCACATACTCGCACTTCACGCTATTACTTGCGCACAGTACGTGAACTGGATTTTGGCTATGACCGCCCTAGCGGTGCACTGGATTGGTCACGCGTAACGGGGGTTGCCACCACTGGCTTGCCTACAGTATGCACCACTGACCGCCCCCCCTATGAGTATGCATTGATGTATGCCCCTGCCCCGGATGATCCAATATCCATTGGAGGACCTCTTTCACACAGTTAGGATGGAAGGAGCGTGGCAAGGTGCTGTCCCCGAACTGGCTTATGTGTGTGGGCACGCATACCACACTCTGTGCAAAGTGCGGTTTTGCGTTACGCGGTTGACCCGTCACCATATTAGTTTGTGGAACTATTTACGTGTGGGTGACTCTAGCTGGACCAAGCATCCCCCATGGTGGATGTGTAGCCCTACATGATACGTAGCACCAGATTCGTTACAGTTGCAATAGAGGTTGTGCGTCGGAGCTTTACCACCATACCACCCCACCTCAATTGTCCGGACGTCAGGATAGGGCTCCCGGCTGGAGTGAGGATAGCCACTGTACCCACGTCACACTCAATGCGGAATAGCGAGTTCCAATACAACAGGATGCACGGCATCCACCAGTCAAACTAATGGCAAGAACTCCCGCTGACCTGGGACTCGTCTCACTAGCCTGGAACGTACCGCGGCCAGCCCACCGGCCAGGTTCCGGCTCCTGCACTTGTTTGCTTCCTGCCCTGTAGACCACAACGTAGGAAGTAATGCCCGCATAGGACTTGTCATGGTCTACAGGGCAGGAAGTAAACAAATACATATACACAACGAATCTACGTCAATAATTGATGCACATGCCCCGGAGCCGGTGGGTGTATATCATCGGCAACTCGTCCCAGTGTTTAGCAGCGCCACACCAAGCCCTATGCGGGCATTACCGGGGTGTCCGCTCCCCTACCCTGCGCAAGTTCTAGCCTGTCCATGCTGTCACCAAGGATGCAATATCAACCGCTGCCTGGGACCTGCGTCGGACGCGCACCTTTCGCTTTGAAGACCACCTGAAGGAGCGACGTGACCTCCAGCGGGTATTGACCCGCTACATAGGGGCTACAGCTCCCGCGATAATAGGACTAGGCACTTGGTTAATGACTACTACGACGCGCGCCACGTTGACCGAAGCAGACAACCTACTCACCATCGCCGTTGGCGGGGACTCGTTCCACTCCTGCCACCACCGGCTACAGGAGCGATTAAAGGCCTGGACCCCGGTGGCCTTTAATTCGCCGATTGGAAACAGGAGTACCGCCAGATCGTCGGCCTAGAGGGTATTTTCCTGCTAACACCGTTGATGACGTCAAACAAGACATATCGGGGTGCTGACGTTTGTGGAGATGCTGACGTTCGACAAGGCAGATTTACCGGACCTACCACAGCAGGTTAGGTCACGCCTCAATCGGTTTGTCAGGTTGTCCGCCCGCTGGAGTCGAGATATTCCGCTACCCCGATCCCTGTTAGAGGAACCGATTCTGCTTGCCAACGCCGTCGCGTATCGTCGCCGCTTCCGCGACGTCGCGCGTGAAATGACCCTGCTGAAGATACTCCAGGAACTACACGGTGACGTGGAACGTAATGCGGTTTCGGTTTTGGCAGCAGCGGCGGCAGGAGTAGCCGGGACTGGGTGTGCGGAGATGTATATGGACAAAGAACCCTTGCGTCGACTAGATTGCAGTGCGTGTGTGGGGGGGGACCACCGCGCTACCCAATGCCCCTACAAGGCGTATATGTGTGGCGGTTGTGGTGGTAGAGGACACCTTGCGAGGAAGTGCAGGGTTACCCTACTGGAGGACGCGTACGGCAAGCGGGCACACCGCCTGGAGAGACGCGGGCAGGGAGGCTACAACCTGAGAGTTGGGGGCGATCACACGACGGGAGACAGACTTGAGACGGCCGTAAGGGTAGGAACAAGACAGGTGGAAGAAGCGACGGGACCGACAGGCCGAGGTCAGGCGGGCCCACAGGGGCGAGAGTAACGACGGCCCAGAGTCGCGGGGAGAGGCTGGTGTGCTGGCGGTGCGTGTCGCGGATTTGGAGCGGCAGTTGCTCGAAATGAAGTCCGGCACGGTGGGAGACGTGTCTGAAAGGACAGTGGGTTTCGTCGGTGAGAATGACGCGTCCCATTTTGTGTGAAGGCCCACGTCGCAGGGAAGGAGGCAGACTTCCTTTGCGACACAGGGGCCGATATCAGCATCGTGACCGAAAGCGAGAGGCGCCGCATGGGCATTGACTTGTCCGGAAAGGAGGGGCGTGTCAGCACTGTGCTTGGAGAAGGCGGTCTCCCGGTGACTCGGCCGGTGAGTGTGGGAATAGAGAAGTCCGTGAGACGGGTGCGGTTTGGTGTGACTCCGGTGGAGTACTTACCCAACCTCCTGTCGGCCCCTGACATGAAGAGGTTTGGCTTGGGGCCAGGTAAGGCCCAGGTTTTGTGTGCGAGGAGGGGCTACGTT